TGGCCGTATGGCTAGCACCTTGGGGTGTTCCCATTACCACAGGGTTATGACACCAAGTCCATCGTATTATTCTCAGGTCAGAGATCTGCTTCCGTTTTGCGGCTGGTGGCACCAAAGCACAGTGGTGTGAACTGCTTACTTAAGGGAACTAGCAGCCAATAAGAGAAAATTTAAGTCACGACTACGGTTTGAAACCGGTATTCTAACTGCAAAGCAAACCGTTGACTTCCAGACACTGCCTCTTTCTTAATAACGCTGCTCAATATTCACATAGGAAATACGTATGAGGCCAAAGTACTTCTCTGGCTCAAATTATGAAAAAAGGCAACTGAGCAGGCCCGATGATTATGGAAGATGTCATTGCCAAAATCACTAGACGCTATCATTCGTTGGCGCAATGGTCTAAATGCCGACAACGCAAGACTGAAACTGACTAAAGAACGAATAACACAGGTGAACCAAGAGACAGCCGTCTGTGAACGTTGTATCCGTTATTAAATATATTATATTAACTTTCGTTTTGCCCTTAACGACGGTAGCATTTAGTAGCTGTTCTCAAGTTTCATGTGGAATTAGATCCTATAAGTAAGTCGAATCCTGACTAAGATAGAAGTTGTTTCAACTGAACAGCCTGATTCATCGAAAGGAGTATTGCCTGTTGATTTCATATCGGCACCTTCAACAGGCGGGAAGGTTCAAAAAGAGCTCATTCACGGGAAGGAAAAACTGACAGCTTAGATGCTGCGTAAAACGAACAGCCGATGTTAAGAATCGCAAAAGATCTTTTGGCCTGAAGCTATCCATGTGTTAATAAATGGAAGAGGCAGCTGAAAGACCGAGAGTAAAGGAAAGTTTGACACTGTGTTCACAGAACTTATGTCACGTGTCAGGTATCCGCTGCGTCGATGTTCTATTTAAACACCCACAGCGTGTGTTCATCGGTTTGGTTCCCTGGCCATGAACTAATGGTACTCGTTGATCTAAAATAGGACTGATAAAAAGTGCGGAAGTGGCTGAAGTTCGGACCCGTGATCTTTTGACCGTTAATCTGAATCAATAGGGAAGCAACACTGTTGAAGCACAATCAATCTGGACCCATGGTGAGGGAAAGAGACGGTGATGCAGAAAGAGTGAACGACGTAGCCTAACGCTTAAAGAAAGAGACTACGTTCACCTGCGGAAGGATGAAGAAGGTATTTCTATCTGACACGCAGGGAAGTGAAAGAGTGAATCGAAAAAAGACGATAAACCGAGCATAAGATACAAATACTTTCAGCAGTGCTCTTTCATGCCGATACGACAAGACAAAATAAGCCGTCCAGAACACCGACGTTCCGTTCAGTGGTTCAGTTCCGAATAACCGGCAATGTCACCACTGAATCTGCGCATCGACGAAAGTATACAGCTCTGGCATGTGACTAAAATTGTTGGCATTCCGCCATTCGGGAACTCAGACTGATCGTATCTCCGTAACAAGAACAGTATATAAACATTAGTTCGTCCGTGGACAGACGTAAAATTGTGCAGTGGCGGTGGAAGATGGTTTTGTGAAATATAGCGTGGTTAAGATCTTGTGCGTTATCATCTCCATGGACAGACAGACAGACCCTAGCGATAGTAAAGCCGGTTCAGCGACGCTTACCTGCACATAGATGAAAACAGTCAGCCTTTAAAGTGGAATCTTTAGACTGCTGTAAATTTAAAAGTGAACTGCTAAATATTCTGTCCCGAAAGACTGCGCGCATATAGCTCGGTTATAAGTAATATGATCAAGATGACTCAAACAAAACGCACTTACGAGGATATTGTGGAACTTCTTACAGTTTAAACAACTTGTTTTCAAAATATGGGAAATAGTATCTGGTCCCCCGCGAAGCAGTAGTTTAACTTGTAGTATACTGACCAAGACTATTTAATCCGTAGAGCGTCAGACTCACAACCGAGAGGTCTCGGGTTCTAGCACGAGCGGGTCACTTGACTTCCTTCCTTCTGCTGTTGATAAACGAGTACACTCTGTGGGAAGAAAACTGGAGACTATACACTATACTTGACACCGGTACTACCGACTCTGCTTTTAAAACAGGGCACTCGTATTTGACGGCATGGAGATATATCCGCGAGCCACCATTAACTTCATGAAAACAAGGGCGCCGGAAATGACCCAATCATGTAAGTCGAAGGAAAACCTATATTCCAACTTACAAATTTTCCCTTTTTTCCTTTGTCACTGAATTCGTCGTTTACAAATCACCGGTCATTCCTTAGTGGTGTCCCTCGGTACTGACTATAGCGTCAGTATATTAAACAGGGTTAAAATTACACTGAATGTTTGCTCGTTTCCAGAAGTATTGATCACTCATACTAAGAGTGGTTCTCGAAACACTAACAACTAAACAAAAAACCTTTATCCTTTAGTTTTCAGTCACGGAATATGAAACACTCCCACTTGTACCTGTTGGCAAATTCATAATTCATAAGCTTTGTCATGTCTTTAAATATTTCTCAACCACGAAATATACTGTTCTTTTCACCAGAACTATTAACAGAAGTTTTAACCATTCAAATGAATCAAAGACTGTCTCTTGTCTTTTCATTTCTTGATATGTTCCATCCAGTGCCGTCCGAATCTTCCGACCGTCTTGTCTACGCGTTTTGGTTCATGTCTTCAAAATGTAGACAGCATAACAGAAAATTTCGTCCTGTTTTATTCGCAGACCAAGATTGATTGTGCCCCCCAGTGATGTCATATGGTCTTGCAGAAAGGTCCATCCCTTTCAGTTTAACTGCCAGAAATAAGTGCGACAAAAATCAATAAACAATAGAAACTGACAGATTTCGCCTACCTTGCTGAAATTGTTCGATTCCATGAACATTTGCTGGTATTGCGGAACGGCACGCGTCAACGGTGGTGATGATTCTCCTATACTTTCGAACGCATCTACGTAAGATAGGCTTTCAACGAGAATCTACCAAACGAAACAGATACCTTTTCGCGATTTAGGCGTCTGCTTCTGAGGATAAGTGGCGTCGCGGAACTTCCGGTCTGTAGCCGATCTGTTACCGTGATCCGACGCTGTTAGTGACGTGTCAGAGGCGGCGAGTCGTCGACTCATAGGCTCTGAGTCGAAAACGTGGTTCTCAGAACCCTTTCCGCGAGACCCTGGGTTAAAGCGCCCTCCTTCGCCTCTGATTCTGTTCAGTGCATGTAAATGCCTGGATTCGTGAAGGTATTTCTGCAAGGAAACTTTACAATCAACGTTGGTGCAATGCGATACTCGTTACGTGAGTAACAGTGAACAACGAAACAATAAACATTACTGACAGTCTTGTTGGTCACGGCACCCTTAAAAGATCAGAAGTAGCTAAGCCTACATAAGCATTATCCGTGTAAGACGAAACAAAAATAATCACAAACTAATACCTGTTAAAGTTTTAACTGGTCTGATTAACTTTGATCTAATAGACTAGTGGCAAATTAAGGAATTTCTAAAGGAACTTAATTATTTGACGCTAAAGTTCATTCTCTTCTACAGTATCAGTATATTAATCTAAGTATTCCTACTTTCCTTCTTATTCTTTCTTACTTGCTTACTTACAACGTTGTTTGTCTGTATATTTACCTACTATCCTAATGATACGATGCTGAAATTCATACTGATTGTCTGATCGTACTTCTGCTTCTTTTGTTCCTTTCTTGCTTATGTAATAACAACTTATACGTTTGCAGAAGTACGTACTTACTTTACTTACCTATTCAACTGCTTGTTCGACGCAGCGACACTGAAATTCTTGCCATCCTACCGCCTATATTTACCAATCTACTTATTTCCTCATTTCCATACTTATGTTCTTACCTATTTACTGGCTTACATCCGAGTAACAACAGCCAGTATTTTAAGAGCGCTTAGCAACAACGGTTATACATATTTGTACCTCTTCTTCCCCACCACCTGCATCAGCGTTTGGAAAATGCAAACAGTGCAATGTACGGTTTAACGAACAATGACTTAATAGTTTACCCTTCTTTCCTTAGGGATCCGTCCTTCAGATTCAAGTTTCGCCCGAGCGGCACGCCTCTTCAATATTCTGTGGTACTGTTTAGCATTTACGTAAAGCGGTTCATCTTCACCGGGAGGCTTCGTTGCAGTGTTTGGAGGTACAGCAAGAGCGCTGGTATTGATAGCCGAATTTGGCATCATCTGTAGCTAAAACACAACACCGTAAAATATTTGTATAAACTTATTGTTTGCTATGATTTGTACAGTCTGCTGAATTAACTTGTATCATACAATATGGTTTACTGCATGCATCGATGGCGGATGGCAACATGAAAAGACGTTGGTATATACCTCGGAAAAGCCCATAGGACGTAGCTCAATAAAACTGGTCAGTAAATAGAAAATATATAGGAATAAAAACTTATTAGAAAATTAAATATGTACAGTCTCGTATCGTCAGTGCATCTAGTCGTGCAATTTTAACTTGTAATGTGTAAGTGAATCACTGTAAATCACTGGACGCTTATTTCAGTGCATGAAAACATTAAAGTGACAATCTATGCATTAGGGTAAGACGACGAAAACAAACTTTTAAATATTGCTGGCAGCTTCCAGCCAGTCATTGCACTGGAAGTGCAGAAAGTCGACTTTGAGCAGTCGAGAACTTGGATCGGATCATGGCATTATTGTTTCACACAACACTATATCGTCGTCCAGACATATCGTTTATCGCCAGAGCTATCAGGCAGTCAGAAAAGCAGTAATAGCTGATCGCAATTAGCCTAAAGATGGAGTACCGAAAATGCAGTGGTACTTTTCTTGTATGCTAATTTTTGCATTATATAATCTTTTCCCCCAATGCACCCTTTCCAGTTGCGATCATATTATCTTTACTGATAACAACCACCACTGCTCATGAAAATAAACGGGAGTAATTAATTAATTAACATTAAAATGAAACTACATTTACTCAAATTTATTCACGACTTTACCGTACAGAAGAATAATACATAGTCGTAGTAAAATATCAGCTGCTTTCAAGGCACTATGGTGACAAAGGGTAAACAAAATTCAAAGCTACATTAACCTGATGTAAATACAACTTAATTCATGCTAAAATCTGCTTTATGCTCGCTATTATCTTATTCTGATCTCGAAAAAGGTTGGTGGAGAATTGCTGAGGGAGGATCAGGAATAAAGTTCAGAAAGAAGAATAACTTCTACAGAAGTAGGTCCTTCAGCCTTGGTCCGGTCTCGTCAAATTGTCAAATTTATTTCTACTCGTTACATCCGGCATCGCACTCTTTGGTAATTACTTAGCATTGAGGACCATAAATGAAAGTACATGCATAAACAGATGTGAAGACAGGTAGAGTCGTGCTACTACTCAGTTGTTTCTTCATCGATGGAGAAGGGTTAGAGCATTCATCTGGCTGATTCGTCTGTACTTTTCCAAGTCGCGCTTGCCATGACTTCTTAATGCCACTTCAATATACTTTTCTGTTCCTTCAGATGCACTCGATTAACCCACCGAGCGCAGTGAATAACCTTTCTCGAGAGTACAAATGCTTCGTTACTAGTCAGGCTAATTTTCACCTCTAACATTATACGATGCCGTAAATTTATCAAGTGTATATTTCAGAACAGGATAAGAGGAAGGTAGTATTATATATAACATCCTCTGCAAAGGGCAGTTACTCCTGCCATATTATAATACAATATTTACATTCTAGCAGGTCACTACACGACCTATAGCTTCTAGCAGTTCAAATTCATTAATAAAAAACGTAATAAAAAATAGTTACCATGATGATCTGCGCCTGCCCTGTTGCTGAGGTAGACTGGAAAATCTGGCTAAGGTTTGAGTCTGGTCCAAGTTGAATGACATCTAAATAGTGCATGCTGAGATTGCGTCATCAAGCTGAATGTAGCGTTTTCAGTGTTACAGCTGTTCTTTATGCAGAAGAATATAGTCTGTCAAAAGAATGATTTTAATTGAGAGTTCCATCCACTCTTACTGTTTCATGCACAGAGCCGCGAATAACGATCGAGCAGGGAACTTTGTTCTAGAGAGACCTCTATTTAAATGAGACTTTGTTTCAAATTGTTTAACTTAGGAGGCGGCCAGATTACTGATCGGTGATGATGTAAATCACTGCCGTGCTCATGAACTCAACTTCGACCAGAGTTTGAACTCGGGACCTAACTGTTCTGAGTTCGATGCTCTACCAACTGGACAACCCCGGTTTGAAGCACCGTGTGGGCCCTTGAACAGGAATCGAACCCGGCATCTCAGAAGTTCGAAGCAAACTTCTTAGTGTTAACACGCCACAGTCGATGAGAGGGGCAACTCTAACTACAAACTCAGATGGATCATGGTCTACATCAACGATAGTCACGTTAATTTTCGTATGAAAGAGGATGACATTTGACTGGCTCAGATTCATTTCCCCCTCCCCCATTAACTTGCACCTTGACATTTAATAATGCTTTTAAAATAGGAGCATAGTGCAACGTTACTTACTAGCCTCGTTGGACACCTGGTTGCGGTTGTTGTTCACCGAGGATGATTGGTCCTGATTTGACTGTTGCTGGTGTTGCTGCTGCTGGTCGTCGACACCGTCATTTTTGCTCGACGAAAAGTCTAAGATCATGTAACATATGGTCAGAAACTAAAAATCTGCGAACATATGCTTTAATTCACATGCACAGTCAAATGCATTCAGTAAAGGTGCGAAACAATACAATGCATTAGCATTTTCAATTAACTTCTGAGGTCTCGTTCTGATTACCCAAATATACCCTTTTGATAATCAAGAAGCTTACTGGATCAAGTAATCTTTGACTGAATAGACAGTTTTCCATTCTGCATTGAAAACGTAGAAAAGGACGATAAAATGGGTGGGTAAACGTGAAGAACAAGAGAAGCAGAAGAAAATATAAAAAACGACAAGTTATAGCCATAGAAAGAAGAGGAGAGGAAGTGAGCAATAAAAGAAAATCGATATAAAAGAGACGTGAATAAAGAGAACGAAGATGAAGATTATGAAGAAAGGGAAGGGAAGAAGGATAAAAAGGAATATGAAAAGGATGAAGGAGAAAAAAGAAAAAAACATAGAGGAAGAAAAGGGTGTTGTTTTGGTCCCTAAATACGTTATGTCCA